CAGTGTTTACTGCATCAACGAAGGCTGGTTGGCAGGAAAGTGTGAAGTGATTAAAAAAAAACAAAGCCAATAAAACAGCAAATTATCAGATGGCAAGAGATAGGCTGCTTCTTGGACAAATCTGAGGAAGGCCAAAAAAAAAAAAAAAAAGAGTCTAGTAAACCCCCCCTCCTCCCAGGGTCATGTCACCCTACCTACTCCCTCCCCTCCACCCCGATAATCTCACACCCTCCCCATACCACCATGCTCACAACGCGCCGTGGATGATCCGCATCTGCTTGAGGAAGGTGGACTTGCCGCTCTCGCCCGCGCCCAGCAGCAGGATCTTGACGAGGCGCTTCACGTAGGTCTTCTCGCGGTTCAGGCACTTGTCGATCTCCTTGGACTTGCGCTGCTGCTCGGCCTCGCTGCTGGTCAGCAGGCAGCCGGGGAAGCAGCCCGACAGCGCGGAGCGGGACGGCAGGAAGTCCGCCATCTTAGCACACACTGCCAGGGAGCGGCCGCCCCGCGCCGCAGCTGCAGCTCAGCTGCCCCCTCGGCGCGAGCGCCTGCGCAGGCGCCTCAGAGGCTGCCGCCGCCCGCAAGGAGACACGTGACCGTCACGTGACGGCGCTCCTCGCCTCTTCTTCCTCAAGCCGCAGCCTCGCCCTCTATCACGTGATCGGTCCTACCTCCCCTCCCCCCCTCGACCCATTACGTCACGGCCCGGAAGCCTACGGGTCCTGGTTGCGCGATGACGTAAGGAGGCCGGTGCCACCTGATGCCGACTCTGTGTGTGCGCGCGGGCGGGGAGGGGCCCCCCCCCCCCGCAGCTCGCTCCTCCTCCCACGCGCCGCCATTTGCGAGAGGGAAGGCGCTCGGGGGGGCGGCGGAGCCACGTGACGGCGCGCGCCAGACAAGCCTAGCACAGGCCCATTCAGCCGCGCATGCGTGCAGCGCCGATGGGGGCACGTCCGTGCGCACGCGGACCCCCGTGCGCTGACATGGGAGCTCGGGGCGGATAAGGAGGCCGCGGGGGGACACAATTGTACCGACCGCGGGACTGGTGGGGGCGGGGCACCGAGCCTGCCTGCACGCTTGCCCTTCCCATGTGCTGCCAGAGCCCCTGCCCCGGGGGCGGGGAAGTTGCTAAGAGTTTGCCCCCCCCTCCCCCCCGCCGTACTGGGTCAGACCAAAGGTCCATCTAGCCCAGTATCCTGTCTGCCCACAGGGGCCAGCACCAGGTGCCCCAGAGAGGGTGGACCGAAGACAATGATCAAGCGATTTGTCTCCTGCCATCTCTCTCCAGCCTCTGACAGACAGAGGCCAAGGACACCATTTTATCCCCTGGCTAACAGCCTTTTATGGACCTAATCCCCATGAAATTATCTAACTTCTCTTTAAACTCTGTTCTAGTCCTAGCCTTCACTGCCTCCTCTGGCAAGGAGTTCCACAGGTTGACTACACGCTGGTAGTTGGTCCTGCTGCAAGGGCAGGGGACTGGACTCGATGACCTCTCCAGGTCCCTTCCAGTTCTGTGCGGTGATGGTCTATCTTGCTCTGCGCGCCCATCCGAGTAACGCTCGTCTTTTGCAAATACGCTGGATCTGGCACTTCTGTGGCAGTGGCATGCACCTGGCTAAACTGCATACCGATCTTCCCTTAGTGATTCAGAGCTAACATGTTTTCATGAATCTACTCCGTTCACTCAGCAAAGTAAGCAGATTAGTACAGAGACAGCAGATCTGTGGAATAAGACGGTGCCATTTTTACAGTCACTTTTCCGATCATAACTACTACAATTTCTCCTTAAAATAGATGGACCAGATTTTCTGTTGTAGCTGAAATCCAGTTGATGCAGTAGAAGGAAGGCTACTAGCGAGTAAGTGACTTTGCCCAGCTTTCCTTTCACACAGGTCTGATACTGCTAAAGGTTAGAGTAGGGGTGGGTTAAAGGGCCTCCATGGGCTGGATCCGGCCCACAGAGGCCCTACTGCTCCCCCGCCCCTCAGGCCAATTGGGGGGGGGGGGGAAGGAGTGTGGAGCCTCCATCCTGCAAGGAGCTCAAGGTACTTAGAAGCACCACGTGCTCTGCCCCCAATCCCTGATTGGCTGGGGATAGAAGGGGGGAGCATGCAAAGTCTCCTCCCACTGCTAGGGGCATGGATGCCTAGGGGGAACCTCTCCAGGGGGGGCAAAGATTTCACATGCTCCCCCACTCCCAGATCAATCATGGTCTGGGGGTGGGGAAGCAGGGATGTATCCTGGCCCTGCTCCTTCCAGTATGGTTGGGGGCCACATCAAAAATTTCCAAAGTGGCCCTTGGTAAAAAATTATTGCCCACCCCTGGGTTAAGATATCTTGGTTGGGACTATGCACCAGCTCAGGATAATCATAGCAAAATGTGCCAATATTCCTTGCACATGAAGGGGGTGGTGTAGGAGCCACTATACCAACTCTTTTCCTGCTAGGGAGAAAACATAACATTCCAGGGAATTTTGCATGATGTGTTTACTTAGGGTATATTAACACTGCATGGCTATTTCGAGATACCGGAGGTATCCCAAAATAGCTACTCCGTGTCTGCACAAGCTGCCTGTTATTTCAAAATATTTTTCAAAATAATGGGCATGCTATTTCACCATCCCAGTAAACCTCGTTTCATGAGGGATAAGAGATGGCCTGAAATAGCGCGTTATTTCGAAACTTGGCTCTGTGTAGATGCGCCCAATTTCAAAATAAGCTATTTTGAAATAGATTCGAAATAAGATACTCAATTTGCATTGCGCAAATTGCGTATCTTAATTCGAATTTAGGGCACTGTGTAGACGCACCTTTAGGGATGGTAGAGCAGGTGGTGGCACTCATAAATAGGGAATTAATTAGGGAATGGGGATAATTAGAAGCAGAAGTGTGCGAGTGTCTTGGACAAGTTGTAAAGTAGCCATTGAACCAAACTGTCAACCTTGTATATGAGGGACATCAATTCAAGCCAAGAAGTGCACGGGAACCCCTAGTTCCGGCACCTATGGAAGTGTATAGATCAAACTGATGATAGAACAATTTAGGAGTTTATTTGTATCTGTAAATGCAAAGCTCATTTAAATATTTAAACACAATATGCCAAGCAGCTGTGATGGTTGAAAGCTGCATCATTTCAAAACACAATCCAATTCAGCTTTGGTGGTAGTGTTAGGTGGGCATCATTCCAGCTGACCTCTGGGAATTGTTCCTGCTTAAACCAAGCCTGAATTTGAAATCTCGCTGAAACACACACGGCAACAAACGGAGCAAAAGCAAATCTTCCAACAAGGAGAAACTTTAAAAGTGATTTAGAAATGGACACAAACGAAGGATGGAGTTTCCATCAGATGAGTGGGATTTAGCAGGTCTGGGAAGTAATGAAGTCACAGAACTCACTCAGTGGAGGTGATGAGGTCATGCATGGTAAAATCCGTCCTTAGACTGGACATTGCATAAAGCCTTGTCTACGTGGGAAAGACTTTTCAATAAAACCCATATTGTTATTCTGGTACAGTCTGCCTTGTAGCTACTTTTATTCCAGTTTGTGTGAGTGTGTGTACAATATCTCATACAGATTGAACCACTGTAAACTGGACTCTCTGGTCCAGCAACATCCATGGTCCAGAGAGTCCCAGTGGAGGGCTGGTGACTGGGTGCCCGGACACTGGGCTGCCACATTCGCCCCAGCGAGGCTGCCAGCTGGAACCGGGAGTCCGGTGTGCCCCAGCAGGGCTGCCCGGTGGGACCAGCAGCCCAGCACGCTGGAAGCTGGGCTGCTCAGCTTAGCAGGGAAGGCAGGAGGAAACCAGTAGGGCAGCGAGGCTGGTGGCAGGGAGGGGGAGCCAGCTGAGGGTGGCCAGTCCAGAGCTGGGGGGGGCGGTACTGGGGGGTGAGATATAACCTTCCCTGTTCCAGCAAAATCCCTGGTGTGGGACTGGTCAGTTTCCCGAGGGTGCTGGACCAGGGAGATCCAACCTGTACCAATTTATAATTGGTAAAACTTTCCCATAGACAAGGCATAGGGCTTTGTTTCAAGGAAACAGAGAAGCAAGCTGGAGCGGGAGTTGTTCTACCAAATGGTAGAAGAAGAGATTTGAGCAGTTGGGAGTTTTCACCAGGGTATTTAAAACAATGGTCCAAGCATTCCCCTCTGAAGTGCAACAAGAGCTAGGAATTCTTGGAACCTGACATTAGAATGAGGAATCCCATGGGGCTCAAACTTCCAGATGCTGTGACGTTTACTCAGGGACGGGGATGAGAGGAAAATGAAGAGGAAACGGAACATTTTGTTCTTTATTAGCATTTTACCAAAAGCGGAGAAAGGGCTTTAACGTGTTTATTTAATACTTGGTTATTAGGTTTCATTACAGCAGTGGTCCCCATTATTGGGTTAAAAACTGCTAGGTGAAGTGGTTAATATTGGCTCGGGGGGGTGCAGAGATTGCAGTCACATATCTGATCTCTATCAGCTCTGATCATGGTCATTTTGGTTGGTCTTTTGTGCATTGCAATGGGAATTTAAGCGAATCTATCAACATAGGGCCAGTTTCTTGGGTGGTATCAAGTTGAACCCCTCCAGTCTGGCGTCCTCAGGACCTGGCCTAGTCTAGAACATGGGCAGGGTGGGCTCTCTTCCTAGCTCTGCTCCAATTGCCTGGGTAAATTGCTTCCTTTTCTGTGCCTCAGTGTCCCCATTTCTAAAGTGATTCCTTCATAAAGCAAGCAGGCCAGCTTGAGCAGCCTGTATTTGCTGGGAATAACACAGAGTAGGCAAGGAACAGGCAGCCTGGAAATACCTGGTCAGAAGGAAAACAGACGGGTGGGCTGCACCCAAGAAAGGCAATGGCTGGAGAGCTGGAAGCCTACATGGCTGCTGCCCTTGCTGCGCCATTGAGGGGAAACAATGCTGTGACTGAATTGTGCCAGGGATATCGCTCCTGAACATACCACTTACAGCAGAGGGGAATAATATCCCTTCTCCCCATGTGCCGCTGAAACGAGGCTGACTTTAGTATGTGGCCACCTGTCTTGATCTTCTTGAGACTCTGGAGGTTGGGATGCTGGTGGAGTCAGCACTTAAGACAGCTCCATTGGGAAAACAGAGTAGCTCCACCCTGGATCTCCTTAGCAATACTCTAGCTGAGATCCGCCACCCAGCAACTAGCTGTAATCAGTGAGGAAGGATATGTGGGGTCCTTCTCCAGCCTACCAAGCCTATCAGTGGGAGAGGTGAGAAATAGGTAAACACAGCCCCTTCCTGCTCATAGATTTTATGTTTCTGCTGTAGAAGCATCTTCATTTATGCACTATGGCCTAGCAGATAGAGACCTAGTCCTCGCTCTGCTCCTACCACCTGGGTAAATTGCTTCTGCGTGCCTCCATTTTCCCATTTGCAAAATGGGAATAATGATACTTACTTCTTTCATAAGGAGTCCTGAGATGTACTAATGAAAAAGCTAGTTAGTGAAATTCAGCCTTAACTATATGCTTGGCATGCTTACAGTATCATTCTTCATTACTTTTATCCATCAATTCCTCCTATAAGAAAATGGTTACATATTGCATTCTTTTAGTGTTACTGG